TGGGATTTGATAATCGCACTAAGCCATATCATCGGTTTATTTTGATTACTTGTGCAGCCCTAAATTTAATAATAAATAGTTATCATTAATTATTTATTATTTATTTTCTTCAGAATATTCTGCATAATAAGACCAAAGACATTTAAGATAAAAGTAAATCGGTCTAGACTGGTTTGCAGTTTTCATATAATTAAATTTTTTTTTATAAATTACATTTAACGTCATATTTGTGTCCATAGATCTTAAGATCTCTACTCAAATTCGCAGTTCTACCGACCGTGCCCCTTCAGAGTAACTCGTTAATTGCATGCCGAGGGCAGAAGGGTGGCCATTACCCATTACCTTTTGTCTCTCCCATATAACCTGACTGGCGTGCCAACCTTGCTGCTTTATCATGCCACAGCATTTGGCTTTCTTTTTGCAGGTGGCAAAATGAGATCGTGGGCACTGTGCTTGGCAGCCTGCTCTCACAAACAGCATGCCAACTGCCAAGCCTCCTCGCTTGTGCGGCGGCTGCAGAGATGTGCCGGGCACAGCCTGGCTTGGCTGCCTTTTCAAGCCGGGCACAAATGAGATTGGCACGGAGCACAGCTCCTTGAGCGAGCCGTGTGATATATAGTCCCCAGCTGTGGTCAAGGTGGAAGCGGGAAGGCGAGGGAAGCTGGGAAAAGCGGTAGATCTGTGCCATGACCACGGAGAATGTTCAATCCCTGTGACTAAACAGCATGGGAGCAAAGAGAAATGGCACACAATGTGCCACAAAGTGGACACGACACACACACACACACACACAAGTGTTGTTTCACAGCATAACAGAACATTTTGTTTGTCACACTCTGAGTGCCCTACTTTTTAAACTTAACTAAATAAATGCTAGATTATGGAGGAGAGAACTTGGTTTGGCATTGGCAATATGCAGTTTCTTTTTGTTTGCTACCATTTATTTTCTCATAGTTTGTATTGTATTTCACTGGTTTTGGGCGTTTAGCCAACATTTCGTCAGTGTGTGAAAAGGGTTCATTGCATCAGTCAATACCAGCAATAAAGAAAAATGTAAATATATGTAACAAAGTCTTGTCTAGATTACTCAGAATTATTCAGTTCAGCCTAAAATATTACATACACACACACACACATATATATATATATATATATATATA